CTGGAACAACTGGACTAAACAGCCAATTTTTCCCAGTGTGTAAAAAAATTCCCCCTTAGCTATCTTTTGGAGCGTGATATTGGCCATGCGAGAAAATACACTCAATTTCATTCTATCCATGCACATGAAACTCCTACAACAGCTAATTCGATTATACGTAATGTACTGTACATATTGTATTGTATGACAAGGGTTTACATTTTCCCTAAAAGAGTAGGTTTTATGTCTTATAGAACAGTGATGATTGTTGAAAATGTGTTCCTCATTCATCTGTTGACAAATTGATGAACTTACTATTCAGCCAGTCAATGAGACAACAGTGGAGGAACATTCAAACCTAAATTCATTACTTAATTGATTGGATTGAGAAACCTGTTCGATCAAACTCTGCAATATTACAATACAATATCTTATATTTAATCAATGGCAGTGGAAAATTGATTAAACGATAGTTAGAGATGAAAGTCAAGAACTAATGAATCAATATTTGAAAATAATTCTTTTTGGTTACGGTGACAGGTGTGAGGTCAAGGTTGTTGTCAATTTATAGCCTGTCGTCTGTCAGCAATCACGTTTTATAGCCAATTTGGACATGAAGATAGATATAGAATCTGTATGTTTCTTTTATTAGTTTTTTTTAAGAATCAAAGGTTACAAAAAAAATGGTCGGGGGGGGGGGGGCGGTTGAGGTAGATGAACTGTATTCGTTCACCGGGAATCAATGTTTCTATCTTAAGTATTACCATAACTCCTCCCAGTAATTCTTTTCTCACCACAACACACTATTACACGTCTCTTCAGCAACCATCGCCATATATTCCTTCTTTTTTTTTCATCACTCTTCCCTCATTTATTGTTATTTTTATTCTACGAGTTTCCCTTTTCACCTTCCCTCCATTTCCTTTATGTCTTCAACAAACTTCCTCCGTCACCATACTTTTACTCCCAAGTTTGTCGTCATCAAAGAGTCTGTCGTGCGGCGTTGTATATCTTTATGGCCTCAAGTTGTAGGCCTGAGGGAGGAGGGTGGGGTGGACTGGCTGTTGGTATTGTGTATTAAATAGCCCGTCCACCTCCCACACCATTTTGCTACGATAATTTACTTTTTTCTTGTGATTTCTTTTCTTAAGAGCGGGGTTGTGTAGCTGTCGTGGTCGTGGTCGTGCGTCCTCCGACAAACAGTAATTTTTTTATTTTTTTTCCCTGGGAGAGAAACATAGCGCTTTGTTGTATCTCACGTCCTGACAGAAGTTTTAATTGAGAATGAAATCGAGTAATTTTGAACACAAAAGCTTCTGAGAAACTGTTCACGGGTAAAGAAAGCTTGGTGGTATCAAACTAACAGTAGCGATATTTTCTCTATTACATTAACGCTGCAATTTACATTGGAAAATAGCACAATGGAGTTTAGCACGGGAAGTACGAGGCATTAACAGTCCGATACATTTAATAATTTCCTTAGAAATTCTCAAAAAGAAAAATGGTTCGTGTCTTAATATAAGTACACTAAAAGAGTACACTGTATGGAAAACGCCGAGACGACTGGCCAAGACGCCTCGGAGATTTCTATACCAGAATATCTCTCCTACTAATGTGAAACCCGTAACATCAGAGACACGTAAGAATCTCTGAAACACTAGACACTCAAACATGAAGTCATCTCTGGTTTCACCGAGTGTAAACATATAATTACTGAGGCGATATTGTCGACCCTAAGTGCCACGTTAGTTCAGGGGATAAGGCTTTTCATGTTGTTGTGTTTGTGATGATCTCTGGGTGAACCAATGACTGAGGCTGAGTACGTATATGAAGATATATCAGGACATGCCAAGGTGTAATGAGGAGCGTATATGTGTGTTAGGTCTCTGGCAAAGTTTACAGGTATGGGTGCTGCCAGGTGTTGGACTGTCCCTAACTCCCGGCACGATCTATTGCCAGTGAGGGGAGATAGTGATTTGTATCTCTTCCCTTATTATATGTCCCTCCCTGTGTCCTGGTTCACACGATCTGTAAACTACGCCTCTGAACACACAATTAACAAATGATACATGGCATTTAATAGTACCTAAAAAAAATAATAGATAAAAGAGTGAACTTAATAGTAAGAAAAACCCATAAATAAATTATATGAACAAATAAAAATATAAGTCAATCTGATGGAGTCTGTTATTTTTACCAGCTAATCTTTCAATATAATTCATTAACATTTGAATCCCAATGAAACTACAATGGTCTTAACCTCTCCATATTATGTCCTGAGGGAAGTAACTCTAGTTCATCATATATTTTTCCCAGAGAATATTATGGTAATGTTGTAAGGGAAATATGTCAAACACTTTACCTGCCGGCCATTGGTGAATAGATATTAATTATTATATTATTATTATTATTATTATTATTATTATTATTATTATTATTATTATTATTATTATTATTATTATCATTATTATTATCATCTCTTGTCACGGGTCCATCGTAAGCGGTATAGCAGGTCCTTAATAATTGAGATGTCTGACTAACAATTATACAACTGGAGTCGCTGATGACACGGCTTGGGAGTTCTCGGGCTGATAGGGGAGTGAGGGGTAATGTGTACATGAAGGAGAGGAAGAGAGAGAGAGAGAGAGAGAGGAATAAAAAATAAAAATGATCAAGAGAGACAATATATAGAACTCGTTACATACCATTAACCAAAAACAAACCTAACCTCAACTATTATATCTCGTCTCCTCTAGCCTTCTGTTTCTACTTGACCACATCACTGACCGACCACTGGGCACGAGACACGATAATCACCACATAAAAGAGATGGTCTTATGGCAAAAGAAGTTAATATCTAGAGTGATTTATCATATTGGTTAACCGTGTGAAATATTGGGGGCTACTCTCGCGAGGAAGAAATATATAACATAGGAAAAAAGTATCTCTCTCTCTCTCTCTCTTTGATATATATATATATATATATATATATATATATATATATATATATATATATATATATATATATATATATATATATATCAAAGGAAAAAAAAATATCTCAAGGGGAAAAATAGCCCATTGGGTAAAATCCTTCCCCTATAAAACACCACCAGCAAACAATTCCTTTTTTTTTCAGTGGATAAAAACACCCACTGGCTGTAGGATTTCTATGAGGGCAAAAACCTACTAATTTTCCCACAGAATAAAATCCCACTTCCACTATTTTTACTGTCGAGTTTGTCTACGTTACGTTATGAAGGATTATCTCCCCGACGGGAAAATAAAAGTAGCTTAATGTTTTTTTTTCTTATTTCGTTTCTCTCCAATTTACATTTCATTCCTTTAGGCATTTTCAGTTATCATTCGTAATTCCAGGATATAGTTTCGCCCCGTGTATATTTGTATCTATAAAAAACACTGAATATCTAAAGTAAAGAAACAAAAATGTTTTCCTCTGGCATATACAAACAAGAGAGGAATTAATTAATAACCTTTTTGAAGATTTTTTTTTTTCAAGACTACTCCAGAATCACTGCATAAATTACAACCATAGTACGTATTTTTCTCTCGTGTTTTTGTTTTTTGTTTTTAGATGGACGCGGTAGAGATGGGTGGTGGTAATGTTGCGCTGCGTGAGAGGGAGGAGGGTGTTGGGGGGGAATAGAGGCCGACCAGATAGGTACAGTAATTGGGTGGGAGGGGGGGTCTTGCTGTGATAGTTGAAGACCACAGCACGACACATTTATCGCAGCGAGGGACTGGACAGGAATGAATCACAGCGAATGAAAGAGACAGTTTGTGTTTACAACTGTGGTCTCTGGCTACTCCCATAACGGTATGAAAGATAAAAGGAGTGAAATATACCTGTTTTTGTTGACCTGTTTCACTATTATATTCTGGGTATTTTTTCGATCACTCTCTCTATGTTATTTCCACATCATCTTTTGCTTATACAGTAAAACTATTATTTGCCTGACTTATATCTCTGTGTCATCCGTTATATAGAGGTTTTTAGATCAAATGAACCCTCGATATAACGGAATTTCATATCTATATTGTTCATTAGATAGAGGTTTTACATCTAATGGACTAATGGGCCCTTGGTATAACGAGCACTCCTCTACCATATAATCCGGTAAATAAAGCTTTCACTGTATAAGTACAATTACCTAAAAAAAAAAGATTAACTGCCATGGGATAAATATTAACCCATTTCTACTGCAGTGAAATTAACAATCATCAAATTTATCCCATAAAGGCATTCAATTCATTTCAATTTTTGTGGACTGTGATGTGTGATAAATTTCCTTGTTTTAGGGAGTAAACTTTCACAATTATTTTATTTCCATACACAATTTTTTTTCCGCTGATTCCCTTCCCCTATTCATTTAGATCAAACACACACAACTATTCAACCCCAATCAGTGATGTGTTAGGTGGATGTGTACTGTTGTTATCATGCCAGCCAACATTTTATAAACTATAGATAAATATCAACATTTAGGCAGAGAGAGAGAGAGAGAGAGAGAGAGAGAGAGAGAGAGAGAGAGAGAGAGAGAGAGAGAGATATCGACCATGCAAGAAATGGGATTTACCAAAGTCTGTTGATACTACAGGCCTGGGTGAGGTGAGGCAGTACAGTACATAACTCTAGCAGAAAACACTACATTATGCAGGCTTTAGTTTAACTCTCCGTCTCGGCTCACATCATTCACCTTCCGCTGTTATCATGGTGGGAGAGGGAGAACAGAGGCCCCCTGGGGTTAATTAAAACTTTGTATTTGTGACTATGCAAATGTAAATAAGTTGTTTCGAAGAATTAAACATATTTTTTGAGGATCTTTTTTAATGTTCTTGTCATACTGTTGATATTATTTGTCTGTCTTTCATTGTTGTTGTGGTTGTTGTCTTTGTTTGTGGACTTCTTCTATTTTTGGATGGTCCTAATACCCCGCCACTGCCCAAGGACTTATTCTAACTCCTTACTTTACTAATTGTTGTTTTTATTTATCCTACAGGACGCGGACAGAGACTAGGGAGTGAGCTGTAACTGACGAGGAGAACCTAAGAGGTGTTGCCTATAGGTCCAGTGATTGATAGTAAGTACACGTTTGTCTTCTGGTGTGTATGAGGGAAGTGTAGCTCCAGTCAGTAATCTTCACGTTCACTTGGTTGTATGTTTACAAATATATATTTTTTTTATATCAGGAGTACTGTTAATAATGTGACCCTTACAGCTGTGAAAATATTTTGGTTGTTTTATGGTTATTTGACAATTAAAGTGCGGCCTTAGGAAAACATTAACGCATTTTTGGCTTTTCAAATAAATATCTAACTAAAATTAACTAAATCAACTAAAATCTAAAGTCAGTCAGATTAAAAACAGGTTTAAATCGCAGTGCTGGAATTGGGTCATATGTCAGGTCACAGGTGAGTTGATACGCCCAGTTTAGCAGGTCAGGTGAACAGCAACACAATGTTACTCGAGACGTTGTGTTGAGCAGACCTTGTGGATATTCTTAGAGGCAATACGAGATATGCTTACTCCTCACAAACTAAGTTATTTTCAAATAACTGAATATTTAAGTATAACCGCTACCTAAACATCAGGGATAGATATCACTTCTTCAAATTGTAAGATCTGCAACGCAAGGCTGAAGAAGGAAACATAAATTTTAGGTCAGAATGAAAGGAAGATTTTATATTCATCATTAAAAGCGGGAAACCTATGTGCCTTATCTACAATGCATCAATCACTCGCTATGAAGTCAGCAACTTGAAACGTCACCATGAAAAGAATAACAAAGCCTCTTCGTTTGAGTATGCTGAGTATCCTTTTTTGTCAGATCCGTAGAGAAATAAGCTACGTGTTAAAATCATGCTTAAATAGCCAGCCGACACTAGACCATTTTCACCGTCTAGTAAGGAAGCAGACATATCTACAGAAGCTACATGGGAAATTTGCTAAGAAGAATGTTGCTGAAACTGTTATAGTTTTGGATCTAAGGCAACACAAAATTTTCGATGCTAAGACCATATACTGATTATACTGTATTTTAAATCCACGCCACATTAGGGAGAGGTGCCCCTCCTAGTTCAGTACAAATATTATAAGCAGGATGTAAAACTATCTGAAGAATCGTCTATCATTTAGCATAATTTTCAGTTTTTACCTACAAAAAGTGCCTGGTATATCACCTGGACAACAAACAAACTATTAATAAAAGGAGATACCGATGAGTAACCCAATTTTGCGACTCGTATCCTCAGGGCACACACTTCGCGCAGCACCTGAAGACGGAATGTGAGAGGTGAGGAGGGGAGAGGCGATATACAGGAACATATTTTCACAAGTTCTGTATGAGCAAAGGTCTCTTGGGGAACCTGACTCCAGGAATGTTATTAAGTCAGATGTTCGGGTGTCGCTGTCGCTAACTGTTGAAGGGTAGGCCACTTGTCTCCTGCAGGCGGGTGGAGGAGAACACAAGTGGGCCAGCCTGACAAATTGCATGTAGTGCTGGCACATTCCAACACCTGTTGGTGTCAACTTCGAGAGCGATATATATATTTTTTTTTACTATCTTGCCGGTTTAGTAAAAGGAATTTAACTATAATTCCTCAATATCGGGTATGAATTAAGTTATGTATTTGTGGCAAGAAACTAAATCTCTGGAAGGCTGATTCATTAAGTGTAACTCCAATTAATGTAAAAGACAGTGCCTTACAAAAATTAATGGTGGTGATTTTGTTTTAAATTTTTTCCAATGTATTTTAACGTTTTTCAAGACTTAATATATCACCTGTCAGTTATATATAATTATTAAAACTCCAATTTAGGTCTACGTGTAACACAATAAGCTGCACCATTTCTTGTGCCACATAACTTATACAATGTTATTCGTGTAAATATTAATACATTATAACAAAACTCAAATTTAGTGTTTCACATATCTGACCAACACAGTTGTAATTAACGGTAGTTTATATTTCCAATCACCAGAACTTTGTGAGTTTATTAGTAATAAATCACCTCCATCATTGGTGACTAGGACACTTGATCATCGCGTCCGTCATGTTTACTCTTTGATGACACGTAAATAATGTGAAACTAGTATTGCCTGTACCTGAGTTAAATAGTCACCTGACAATATATTCAGGTTAGTTAAGTCTTGGAAACATGTAAAATAACTGTTATTGTCAACAGGAATATATTGAAAGCTCTGGCTATAAAATGCAAACATCTATTTTGATTACGTACAGCCTAAAGTATCAACATGGCCACGTGACCCATTAGATGTTTGTTTGATGTCCTTATATAAAGTATAATGACGTGACGTACCAGAAATTTTCATGACGTGACGTACCAGAAATTTTCAGTGTCGACAACTTATCACCTGGTAGTTTGATGACTCAGACACATGTCAACACGATGTTACACGAGTGTAATGAGTGACAACACTATAAACATTCGATAGCAATCATTACTCATATAAAACATCAATTTCAAGGGTTACATCAAACGAACTCTATAAAGCTTTCACTACATTGCATTTTTCGGTTATCATGTACGCCTAAACCAAAATAATAGTAACCCTTTGAGGAACATAGTTTTGGTTATCTGATCCTCATGGGGATAAAACATCATTAGTCTCGAACCATCGTCCTCAGAGGATTAAACCATCGTCATGAAAAGGATTAAACTATATTTCTCAAAGTTTTTAAATATCCTCCTCAGAAGATCAAACTATCGTCCTCAGAGGGGGAAAAAGTCTAACTTATATCATTGACTGTCAATACATACCCAGTTTTGTAATAAAATAAAATAACGATATGGCATTCAGGTGATAGAATGATTTCTATTAAGACTTTCTCATAACATTATATTATTATTATTATTATTAATTATTATTAAATTATTATTATTATTATTAATTATTATTAAATTATTATTATTATTATTATTATTATTATTATTATTATTATTATTATTAATAATAATAATATTATCCGGTCTGATATGGGTAACTATACACTTTCTTTCTTTTCATATTGTATTTGCGTATTCATATTCTAAGAAGGAATAAAGGTGACCAATATCTCTTTTTTTTCTTACTACGACTCTCAAGAAACCTTGCACAAGCCTGATGCAGATACACGTAGGTGTTGACAACCACACAATAATATCCCACACTGAAAGCACCGAAGCCTTCTTGACGTTAGGCTTCGTGCCTCCATCTTCCCATTGCAAATCCGGCTGATGTGAATACCTGAGTGGAATGTAAACCACATGAATCACGATTGCTTGGGAAGAGTAATGTTGGATGGCCTTACAGAGATAAGAGTGGATTTCCAAAGCACGGGTTAGCGACTTTGCTCAAGATCTTGTGAAACATTCGTAAGGAATTGGATGTTTTGTTTTGTCAGCTTTGACAAGGGATGAGATGACGAGAGTGACTAGACACGTTTTAATATGTCGAGTAAAATATCACTGAATGTCTGTAATTTATCGTTGGAATTTTCGTTGTATTAACCATATAGTTAATGACAGGTATAAGAGAAAATATATAAGTACACCATGTATTAAGAGGGAAGAGTCTCGTTAACAAGGTATTCTGTAGAGGAGGTTATGGTTGAGGTGCAAATTCATTCAAGAAAAAATTATTACAATGGATTGACTGAGTGGATGGAATATAACACAGCAAGACTCTATGATAAAAATCCTTAAGCAACATAGATGAAGGAAAACATAGGATCCATATATCAGCAAGGACAACTTTGACTACAAGCATAAAATATTCACAAAGTTAAATAGTGTGGACGTAGAATAGTATCATCAAATAACACCACAATTGATTTTTTCTAGCAAGATAAGATGTACAGTAGTATGTGCAATGTGTCGTTGGTGTAAGATTTTTAGTGTACTGTACCTAGTTTACTCGTCTCTAGGGCAAGAATACGTGAAGTGGCCTTTGTGTTTTTGATAGTGGATGACCAAGATAGTGACAAACCTGACAAACAACAACGAGGGGTCTTAAAGTTGAGAATCAGATATAAAAAAAGTTTAAAGATGAGCTGTATAGGAAGTTAAGCGAGGAGTACCTCGTAGCCACATAAAACCGCTGAAATGAGATGAGTGTGTTGATGAGAAACCTAAGAATATCTCATTAGTGGATGCGGAGGTCACTATGCAGGGAAGTAAAGAAGGAGGAGAGAGAGAGAGAGAGAGAGAGAGAGAGAGAGAGAGAGAGAGAGAGAGAGAGAGAGAGAGAGAGAGAGAGAGAGAGAGAGAGAGAGAGAGAGAGAGAGAGAGAACAGAATAATGAGACGAAGATATACGAAACAAAGATGATGATACTGAGAAGAAGAGAGAGTCCGAAGGTTTCACGTAACGACAAGAAACAACAAACACTGAGAAAACAAAACATACAACATTAAAAATATAAAGATATATATGTAAATTAAAGAACAAAATCATGTCATTTAATACGTAGAAAGGCAATGAAAATATCAGGGAAAGCGCTATCAACATCTTGAAAAAAAGGTAAACGAATGCAGAGGGGACGTCAGCGTGTGAAGAAAGAAGACGTGTTTAACAGGGTGCAGGAGGATTTTACTGAGAGAGGGTGAAGCCTGCCGGAAATGGAGAGGGTGTTCCTGAAGAGTTAATAGGATGGAAAGAGGGGAAGGTAACGATAGAAGAGGAGGGGACCTGACATTACAGGGTTAGACGACGAGAGAAAGTAAAATGAATGGAGAGGAATAGCATCATCTTACAAAGAGGATAATTAGAGTAATATCGATACAGGGAGTGAATGGAGAGGAATAGCACACCTTACAATGAAGATAATTAGAGTAATATCGATACAGGGAGTGAATGGAGAGGAATAGCACACCTTACAATGAAGATAATTAGAGTAATATCGATACAGGGAGTGAATGGAGAGGAATAGCACACCTTACAATGAAGATAATTAGAGTAATATCGATACAGGAAATGGAAAACCAAAATGGGAGGCTTGGTGGGGGTGGGGGGAGAGATTTACTGTATTGATTCATGAAGACTGGACCTTGGAAGACATCAAGTGGAGAGGCTGCTAAT